GTAGTACAAAGTATATCACTGGATTGAGCTCTTTGTCTAAGTGTATTATTTAAGTGCTTTGCTTTGAGCTCAGTTCATTGTTATGCAATTCATTCTTTGTGAAATAAAGATTTGACAAACAACTCTAATCTGCACAAGGAATTGTATAAGTATCCATTCTATGTAAGTAGTAATAGGGAGAAACATATTAAAGCATTTTATTTACGTTTGAACCAAAGATGTTGTGTCCAGAAGCTAAATTAGAAAAACACACAAATTACCAAACAATACTGCTCGTGTTTCTAGCAATATCATGAACATGAATATGATGCTAGGTGATTTTGTTACACTTTTTTTTAACTTCTGCACTGCCTACTGATAACACAGTCCTGAGTAGATGTAAATGTCATTCATTATTGTAAAAAAAAAGGACCTATCTGCCCTAATTGATTTCTAAAATTATATTTCATTGTTCAATATCTATCATCCATTTGTCAATTTGTCAAATTGTGTGAATTAACAGTAAATATTAATAAATGCACTTTCATACCACAACAAAACTAGCTTAATACAGTACTGGATTCACTAATATTTGTATTCATATAACAAAAAAATCTTGGAACAAGAATATTTTTGCATTACCTTTTTATTCTAAATTCTATAACTTTTTAGATAAATAGAACATATTCGGACAATTAAATATCTTCTAATCTGAGAAACAATTTTGACATTTAAACGAAATATTTTACTGGTGGTACTGGGAAGATCCACCACAAAGAAACATAAATATAACCATACAAATAGTACATGCATGCATGTTCTCCAATACCATCTCCCATATAAAAAATCACATCATGAAGAAATGAACTTTGTGTTCCTCTCCTAGCTACACATGTATCCAAAATCAAAGGTGTAGAACATATTTTATAATAATCATTTGGTAATCAATGAAATAAGTGTCTCCATGGCAGCCTTGAACATTAAAACAAAGTATTAAATAAACAATACTGCTAACGTTAAGTGTTTGGCTCAGTAAAGCTGTCATTGTGCAACACAGTTTAATATATATAGAACTCTACGTCAACATGAAACACTGTCAAACATTCATACATACTATCCACACTGATCTGTGTCCACACTTGTTTATATATAAAAATAACGTTTATGTCATTAAACATAATCGACAAAATTTTGATGGTTTATATCCCAATAATGATTTTGGTCAATATGAAAATAAGGCGATGAGACAACCATCCACAACAGACCAAAAGACGAGGATGTATTGTCTCGATCAATTCAGCGGGTTCAGATTCATATATCTTTTTAAATTTTTAACGACGACGACAGACGAGGATGGATGTCAAATGATGAAAATTGCTCAATTGGATCTTAGGTGAAGATTAACTAAAAACTTAAAGCGTTCCAATATTTTGATTTTGTATGTCAGTAAATTGCTTACAAAATAATAATGAAAAAAATCATTAGAACTGCAATTCTTGCAATTGCGAATGTCACCCCGAGCATGCTGGAAACGGCAGCCATATTTTGTTTTTAAACTCTGGTAGTTCTTCACATGACATGCAATATTGTTGTAGAGTTTCATTAAATTTGGTACATTTTTGTTATTGTTCTTCGTTGGAATGATTATGGTGGCCAATTTGTAAATTCCAAAGTATAACTTCACATCTACGGATGGTGGCTAGTTCTGTTAAGTTAAAATTTCATCAATTTTGTCCACAATAATTTAGTAGACAAATATATCGGAAGAATAAGAATAAGATTTCGTTCGGGGTAACATAATTAATAGAAGAGAAAAACATACAGATTACCAAAGTCTACTTTAAACAGGTCCAAAATTAAACTCTTAACAATAACTGTGATACAAAGACAAACGTTAAAAATATTCGAAAGGGGTTCCGCGGAACCCTGTGTCTCGCCTGCGATTGCTGCTGTCAGTGTAAAGTGTAATGTTGACTTAAAAAGTGAGTCCATTTATCGGTAAAATACAGAATTGATAAAAAAAAATCAAACTTTTTCTTCAAATGCTATTTCTTGGTCTTGGAGATTAGCTTCTGTCCAAGTTTCATAACAATCCATGAAGGTTAACAAACGTATCATGTCAAAAAAAATTTAATCCCTGACCGTCTTCAAATTTTTACTGTAAAAAACTAGGTCAATCTATTAGAAAAATACTGAAAATGACAAAAAATAATTTTCAAACGTTTTCTTCAGACATTATCTCTTAATCATAAAATGCTTCTGCCAAAGTTTCATCAAATTCTATGAAGGTTTGACAAAGTAATTTATTTGTAACAAACTTTAATTCCAGACTGTATTTACTTGTTAACTGTAAGAAATCACTAAAACCATTTATCAGTATAATACGGAAAAATGAATATGAATATTTTCAAAATTTTGCTCTGGATACTTTTGGTCATAAACAATCTTCTGTCCAAATTGCATAATATTCCATGAAGGTTTGACAATGTTATTGATGTAAAATAAAATTTTAACCACAGACTAAACCCAAATGTTGACGCAGCCGACGCCGGAATCTAGGATCGCTATGTCTCGCTTTCGCGACATAAATGTCACATGCTCGACAAAAATGGTTCACATATATACGAACAAGAAAAAAAAAACCTCTTTTAATGTTGCATGTGAATACTTATTCTCGCATTATAAAGATAAAAAAAAAAAAACACTATTGAAATAATAAAAATTACTGACGCTCTAAACGTAAAATACCAAACTAGCATGATGATATAACAAACAGAATGTTTCTTAAAAAATGGTGAACGGATTATGATATGCATATAAATAAATGGAAACATGAAATTGGACAAATTAGATAATAATTAGTTAAACACTTTAAGAATGGAAGAAACCATGTGTTAATAGGTGTGCAGACTTTCTTTACGGTGTCAAAGCTCTAGTTTGAAAACAACACGAGGAGTTGATTTAAAAAGATATCTTTGAAAATTTTGCTGAAAAAATCGATTAAGTTGTCAAGACTAGAAAAATGGGAACAAACTCCTAAACTGATTTTGAAGTAACAGGTAAACAAGTACAATATATGAGTATAGTCTTTCCATGAAGTTTCAAGGATCTGGGTTGAAGACTGTGGGGAGATTTGATTTATATTTCCATGTAACGACGTGTATTAAATAAGAAAACTTTTCAAAGATTTTTCAATGATTTACAAAATAATTGCCTAAACTAGTAACCTGAATGATGTTAAATCACATCGATGCTGGTTGTGTACGATTCCGCAATATTTAGGTCAAAAATTAAATCATAACAATACAACTAAGCTTATCATTGTCATTTTGCTTAGTTTCCTCTGTTACCTCTTCTGACATCGGAGTCGGGCTTCTTTTAAACTGAGTTTTACTGTGCGTATTGCTGTGTGTTTGTTTATTCTACATTGGCTAGAGGTATATAGGGAGGGTTGAGATCTCACAAAACATGTTTAACCCGCCGCATTTTTGCGCCTGTCCCAAGTCAGTAGCCTCTGGCCTTTGTTAGTCTTGTATGTTTTTTTTTTTAATTTTAGTTCATTTATATGTTTCGGAGTTTAGTGTGAAGTCCATTTTCACTGAACTAGTATTTTTGTTTAGAGGCCAACTGTAGCCCGCCTCTGGGTGCGGGATTTTCTCGCTGTGTTGAAGACCCATTGGTGGCCTTCGGCTGTTTTCTGCTCTTTGTTCGGGTTGTTGTCTCTTTGACACATTCCCCAATTCCATTCTCAATTTTATTAACAAATATGAAACTGATATCCGTGCCTACTATACTTTCTTCTGAAATAATCTTCAACAAATCTCTTAAACAAAAAAGTTTTTCCAGCCGCACATACAAAATTTTTCAGAGTTAAAAAAAACCAAAAAACTATTAACAGAACATTCAAAGCCGTTTAAGGTCTACTTTGCTAGAGGTCAGGTAGATTCAAAGGAAAAGATTTGTAAGATTTACTACCATGGACCACGACGAAGAATGACGACAGAAGCCAAGTGATGGCTATAAATCATATGGACTAGTTTTAAGCGCATAACATGTTTCTTGAGGTTTTTTTTATCAGACCCGCTAGAAACGAACATTTGAAAAACCAAAAAAAAACAAAATAATTTTTTGAGTTGTCTTTTTTACTTATAACATTCCTATCTTTTTATTGATATCAGATAAATCATAACAATAATATATTATTGAATTTAGTGTTTTTGCCCCTTAATCAATTTAAAGTTGATCTTACGTTGTTTCTGTGGAAATCATCCACTACTTGTCTGGATCCAAGCGATTGAGAGAACGCTTTAATGAACAATGTGCAGGGAAGCTTGTTTATCACTAATGACAGTATAATGATCATTTGGTACGCTAGTCTTACTTTAGTTAATGTGCTGTGTAGTAAAGTTACTGTTTCATCAACGTTAACCCTAGTTTCCTGTTATTATCCTGTAGAAATATCCAATATGATAAGGAATCCGTGGAATTTAACATTTTTGCAGTGACAATAGATAAACAGCTGCATGACTTTAAGGTAAATGTAAAATAACAAAAATACAGAACTCTAAGGAAAATTCAAAACGGGAAATCTCTTATCAAATGGCAAAATCAAAAGCTCAAACACATCAAACGAATGGAAAACAACTGTCATATTCCTGATTTGGTACAGGCATTTCCTTATGTAGAAAATGGTTGATTAAACCTGGTTTTATAGCTAGCTAAACCTCTTATTAAGGGTCTACAGAAAGAGGAACAGTTATCAAGGGGTCAATCAATAACCATAAGTCATTGAAAACAATATATGCCTTAAAAAAAAATGACGGATAGAAAATCAACAATTCACAAATAATTGCACTCAGAAACTTTAGATTGGACTACATGAATCCCACGAAACACAGGGATACGCCGGAGAGGTAAGCAGTACCTGCTCTACTAGTTGCATTCGTTGTAATGTTCGTGCTAAATCAAAATCTAGTAATAATTCGGTAAATGTGTGTACTTTATAAATCAATCATTTGCTGTTTCATTTGAAATATCTTTAATTTTTCATATATTTCCTCATTTTCAATTAACTACCTCTAATGTAAAGCAATATCTATAAATTAACATTAAAGTACACACAATGTTTAGCACTTGAAAAAAAAAATTGATGGATTTTTATCCAAAGAGTTTTTTTTTATATATATGTTATATATTAAAGAAAATAATAAACTTAATTTGTCAAGTTTTTAACTATTCCATCTTTTCTCTGAATTATGTAAAGCCTGAATATTCTTTTCAGTTTTTAAAAAAATAATGAGAATGGTAATTGAAATTATACTACAGTTCAGTCAATATCTCATATATACAACCATTCATAAAATAAATCATTTACAATTCAAAACCAAGCTTTTAACGTGTCTACCACAAAAAAACAAAACAAAAACAAAAAACGTGAAAGAACACAGCATTCAATAAACCTTGCCATGAATAAAAAAAATTGCTAATTTGACTCAACATATATTTGGATACGAGTACCTTCGTTATCAGTGGTTAGCTGCAACGTCAAGTTGCGGTTATCAGTAATTATAAATGAGATGGTATCTTAATAAACTACTTTTTTTTTTAGCTTCACTCGACTTGTCTTACATAAGTTTTATAGCCTTTGTTTAAGCAAATTAAATATGATATGCGTGTCAACCTGGAATAAGGTAGATGAACATGAGCTACTTATAATTGACGCTTTATTGGAAGGGAAGTACTCGTATGCAATTGCACTTCTAGAGTCAAATCAAGAAATGGTTTATAAATAAATGATTCTGTAATGTCATTCAAGGATCTTCAAGTATCAATCCAGTTTTGTCGTCTGAACTGGTTCCATTAATAACATCATGACTGCTACTTGTTGACTTTGTTTCTTCTTCTGTCTCTTTTATTTTATCTTCTTGACTCTTTGTGAATATATTCTGCTTTTCGTTGTTTTCAGTCATGATATTGAGTTCTCGTAATGCTCCGTTGTCAAGTATCAATCCAGTTTTTTCGTCAGAACTGTCTCCATTAATAAAATCATGAGTGCTACTTGTTGACTTTGTTTCAGCTTCTATCACTTTTATTTCATCTTCTTGACTTTCTGTGGATATATTCTGATTGTCGTTGTTTTCAGTCATGACATTGAGTTCTCGTAATGCTCCATTGTCATTCAATTGAGTTTCTTTGATTTCTTCATCTAAATCAGTGATTTCAATATTTTCCGATTGCAGGCCGCTAAACATATCTCGTCCTAGTACTTCTATACCTGAATCAGTCCCGAAGGGTCTTACAGAAGTTGCTTGGAATCGTCGGAGGCTTCCTGTTACTGGGGCACTCACATCAGAAGTACTCGTGCGCTTTTCTCCATCGTGTTCTAGTATCGTACCTTTGCTAATATAAAAATGGTAATGTCAGTAAAACAAAAAGTAAATTATTGACAATAAAACCAATTATACTAAGTGTGAAGGTTGGCTCATAACGTGTAGGTTTGGCAATTCTTATGTTCATTTCATATAAGATAATTGAGTGTTAATCAACTTCAATGTTTCTAGAAATTGACATTTGCTTGGTGTCACAATTTCATTATCAAGCCTCATAAATTATCAATTAACTAACACTAAATGTTAACAGTTTTACCAATATGTACGTCAGCAAGTGCAAGTACATGTCAAGGATTACACATTTGAAGAAACATTTGAATACAATGATTCACACTTTTGTTCCTAAGTCATTCTATCGTCCATTTATTACATAGGAGAATGTCCTTGAATTTAAATAATCACAAAGAATCATTAATCTAACTAACAACATCTTTTATGCAGGTAGGGGGCTCGGTGGCCGAGGGGTCTAAGTACTCGAACTACAGTATCACTAGCCAGTCAACACTGAGGTTGTAATTTCGAATCCCGCACGGGGCAGGTGCACTCGACTCCAATCTTAATTAACTAGGATTGTCAGTTATCCTACCGAAAGTCGGTGGTTCCGTCCGGGCACTCCGGCTTCCTCCACCTTTAAAAACTGACCGCCACGAAAAAGCACAACAGTGTAAAAAGTGGCGTTAAACACCAATCAATCAATCAATCAATCAATCTTTTATGCAAGTCATAATTTCTATATTGTCATGCTCGACCTTTCGGTAAACTGGAGGGTTATTTCATTTTATGCAAAAACTGCAATGCTTTTACTTCTTTATTTGAAAAAAATAATTTCACTGATACTGGTATACTGTAAATAATATATAAAATATAAATTTATCTTGCTGTGTTGCTTTAAACCATATGCATTTTATATTGTTCAATGCCATTTTCTATACATTACAACAATTTCATCTATTAACTGGTATTTGTCAGGGTCAACTGTTGCATGTTTTTCAACGTTACCATGTTTGATCAGAAGCTTAAATGCAGCGATTTTCTCTCAGTTATATCCTATGAGAAAACCTGTTATGGTATATTCATTGAAAGATGTGTAATCCTTTTATAGGTATTACAATGTCATGTTTATAGTCATGTTTTCTCTAGTAATCCGACCCGCCTGCTAATTATTATGAGAACGAAATTTTATCTTGGACAACAAGTGAATTATTAAAAGTAGTACAGAGAAGTGAGTGGTTTTAAATTTACAATTCATATATTCTTACCCTACTCTTCTTTTATGTCTCAAAACCATGATGAGTACAATTATCATGATCACCAAAAGGGATATTATTACGACAGCAATAATCCATAAGTCTGAAAAAAACTAAGCTAATTGAAATTGAATGAAACTTGCGAGTGAATATACGGTACCAAATTCTCATGGCGTAAACAATGGTTTGAACCGCTTCTTCAAAAATCCTTTACCAAAAAAGGCCTATGAAGGTACATGAAGATCTGAAGCCAAAGTCTTATGGCAAAAATGATTTAGGCACAAAATAAACTCCTGCTGATCAACGAGTAATCTACCATTACCAATCCATCCTCATAAAATGTGACAAGTATTGACAAAGCTGCCATATGAAGGAAAATTTTGACAAAAAGTTATGCCCCTCCCTTCCAAATCATCTAAATTTACCACTGTTTTCTGTGGATCTTTTTTACTTATATGTTTTGTGTAGTGTAAGCTGTAATTTTTCTTGTTGCCTCTGTGTTGTCTTGCTTTCTTCGATTTAAATTTCTAGTCACCATCTTAGTATTGACTTTGATTTATTTAAGAATTGAATGCTTCTTTTTGTAAATTCATTTGGGTGTAAAAGCGTTGACCGAAGCACATTTTGTATGAAGCGCGGAAGCGCTTCATTCTAAAAATGTACGCACGGTCAACGCTTTTACAACCCTATGAAATTACTAAAAGAAGCATTCAATACTTATAATTACATTTTTTCGCTATGATCATGAAAACACGATTACTATCATTTTTTTTCTTTAATTTACATGTGCACTTTATTGTGGAAACGTGTGTCATCATATATGTTACAATTCATGAAATTCATTTTGAAATGAAGAATGACGCGAGATTGCTGTTAGCCAATTAAAATAACGTATAATAATGAAACATATATCTAATGTAATTATTTCGAATTGACCATCCTTTATCAAAAAAGTGTCAATTGTTTATGTGTATAGTAATTTTTCGAAACTATCGATTTTGGCACATTCTTATCACTCTAACAACAACAACAATAATAATTAACACTATAATAATTATAATTATGATAATACTATTTGATTCCGAGGAAGGTTTTCTGGGTTCAGCAGGTACAGCATGAACTAAAAAATAAAAACAAATTAGTTCAGTCGTTCATTTTGAATTATTTTATTAAAATTTCATGGTGGGTTGGGTTTTTTGTCGGAAGAACACAGAGCTGCATATAATATAGGACAGCCTATTGGTTGATATTTTATATGATGTAATAGCACCACAATTAGGGTTGTAATGCCAACAGAGGAAATTTAACTAAGAACATTTTGGTCAAATAATTCTGTATAATGGGAGTACTGCTTTTATTGCCAACATGGTTGCAAATCTCATGGATTTTAACCATCATTTTCTAATTTAGCAGGTTTTTAGCGAATTATACGTAATTGGGCAATATTTCAGATTTTGTTAAATTACGTCTCAATATCGAAAAATTAATATAATTTTATGTAGAATTAGTACTTCCTAAAATACAATCAATTTAAAGAATTATAAAAATGATCCCAATATGTATTTATAATATCTATACACTATATAAAATGCGGCAAAACATGATTTTTTTTCAATTTAGAATGCAATTGCCTAAAATTCCGTCTATTTAAATTTGTTTAAAATTTGTATTTTATTGTTGTGATCCGTTCTGGATTTGAGATATTATGATATAAGGGGGGTGTCGAATTCGTTTTTGCTGTGTAAATCATTAAATTTGATAACTGCCTGATCACATATGAAAAAGTACTAACTTGAAGCGTGACGATGTTACGATACCTTTATTTTGTCGTTTTGACGTTCTCCACTCTTCACATTGAGACTACTAGTAACTGATTTCACTTTGGCTTTTAATATATTAGTTGTATTTCTTGAGATTTCCAGTGACAATTGTTATTATGGTATAAAAAAAAACTTTTGACAATGGTAATTCAAAGATAGTACAACTCATTACATAATATATACATACTTGTACTGTATACACCAACCGAGGTACCGCCTGTAGATATTCGTGTAGTTTCTGTTATAAACATAAACAGTTTTCACGATTCAATTTTGATTTTGTCATATATCTTTTAAATAAGTTCAAACATTTATTTTAAAAGTATCAAACTTTAGGTAGAAAGCTTTTAAGGATAATAAAAATGATAGATTTTAACAACCTTCTTAGACATTTTTATCAATTCAAAGTATCCTTCTTTTACATTAGTTATTAATAAAATATATTTTTACAATGATAATTCAACTTGCTCGCTTAAAGTTGCATTTCAGTTTTAGAAATAGTCAAGGAAATATTGCTCTCAAATACCCAACTTCAAACTTTTTTTTAATTTTTATTTAAGAGATCAAGAATTTATCACAAATACAATTTTCTATATGCATTATAATCATGATATGGACCTACATATATGAGACTAAATTTCTCTATAAAACTTGACTTTAGTAAAAAAAAAAAAACGCTGTAAAATATATGCACCGACAAAACAATGATTTTCTCAATTATAGATTTCTATGTAAAAATACTTAAAGTTGTTACCAAATTTTGAAGTTTTTTATGAAAAATATAAAAGTACAACTTGCACACCATCCATATACTGAATTGTCATGCACATAATAATTATCGTACCTGTTGCACTGGTTTCATCATTTGGATTATCTGAAACTAATACAAACCGCTGTTTTATATTTCAACACATTGCACGATGTTCCATTTCGTGAATTTAATAAAAAAAAATATAGGATCTATTCTGCCTGTATGTTTATAACCAAAAACTACCCTTAAAAAGTACTTGAATCTTTACTAAACTACACTTACTTTGGCGTCATGCGTGTGAATACAATTTTTCAGACAATATGATGTCATAATTCGGAACATATTTTGGATTTTTTAAAGTTAGAAACTGCATTTTTAAGTAGAGTATTTTGCTAATGTTTAGTATCTTATTTAACCAATGAAGAAAGAGAGTACTTTCCGCACTAAACTCAAACCTTAGTCAATGAACAATAAGTGTATCGACGTCAATAGAATTATTATACATGTTTTGTAAGTCTAGATATACAAACATTGAGAAACTTTCGGACCGTATTAACTCCAAATTGTGTCGGATTTGATGAAGTCTGCCAGTGGATGAAGGTTATTATAAAACATGTTACAAAGATACAATGAAAGAGCTATTGTTTAAATTATTTTTCGGAGATTGTAGTACCCCCTCTTCACTTTAACATTCGCAACAAATGCAGCATTCGAAGTATATTTTACTGCTTTGATTTGTTTTGTTTTTGTCATGTCCTCATATATCCAAAGGGTGACTGATGAATCGAAGTATGGTCACTTGTGTTGTTCTTCCGACCGCCAGTAAAACCCTTGCTAAAATTGGACGTCCGTTTGTTTGTGCGGGATGTATATATAAATACGCAGCCAAGTCCAGTCATAATGGTGACGTTAACTTCGATGCCTCGTGTAAAAAGAGTGCCATGCTCCTTGCACATTATGAACCTTTGCAACAATTCTTTTAGGGTTCCTAAGGTGACCTGTTGCAAGGCAAAATTTCTGTCCCTTTCTAATATACCGTCTTTCATCCAGTACGACTCCTATTGCAGGACCTACTTATTGTATTTTTGATGACCTGTTCTCGTCCTAAACATGCATGAAATATTAGCCACTGGACGAAAAGCAACGAACAATCAATTAATCAGTTAGGTCATCATGATTCTCATTTTTTCACGCACACACACACACACACACACACACACGCGCACCGTATACATGCACTTGTAAACATTACTATAGAAACTGTAATCATACATTGTCTTGGTCTTATGGTAGTTGTGGTATATTCTTGAGTAGAAGGTGGCATATCTAAATTAAAGATTAAAAAATAATAATGACAAGATAGTTAAATACACCCCAATCGCACATGTTTTTATTTTGCCATAATGCAAAATAAAACAAAAACAAAAAAGAAGTCGCTGGTACGGAATTGTCCTTCATGAAAAATATTGTAATTTCCTTTATCTTTATCAATTTGTAAAGTTGTGTAGCAAAGTATTTATTAAATATTATATATATATATGTATATATATAGAAATTAGTAGCAGAAACCAAAATGTACTGAAATATTGGTCACCACCGCAAATTTGACAAACCAATGACTTATTAAATATAAAAAAAAACAGTGTAAAACAAACAATACAGAACCCTAAAGTGTAACTGCCCTAGTACAACTAAAATAAGTGAGTTAAACAACTATTCCGGTTGAGTGTCAAATCCCCTACCCGTCTTTTCTTATCGGAAAAACATCTCGTCGACAAAATCTTTCACTTAAATAACAACATACATCTTAAATGCAAAACACAAAAAAAAAACGTAAAATACCAACAAGAATGTCACCTACAAAATGTAATGCCTGACCACTTTTGACTGAAGTGTTTCAATAAATAACGTAGATTGTTGAAAGAGGTGGATAATTGATCAAACTGTTTTAATTAATTATTGTATAGCCAAACTAAAACCGCCGACGTTTGGTATTTTGTTATTATGTTCACGTGATTATGCCCATATCAATAGAGGTAGGCCAAAGCAGAGATTAGACTACATATACATTCTTTAAAGTGAGATTTTAGTAGATAAACTCATCTGAGATACCAGGATTGAAATTTTGTATTTGCGTCAGACGCGCGTTTCGTCTACAAAAGACTCATCAGTGACGCTCGAATCAAAAAAAGTTAAAAAGGCCAAATAAAGTATGAATTTGAAGAGCATTGAGGACCAAAATTTCCTAAAAGTTTTGCCAAATACAGCTAGGGTAATCTATTCCTGAGGTAGAAAAGCCTTAGTATTTTAAAAATTTAAAGTTTTATAAACAGTTAATTTATAGTTATGACAACACAGAATCGCAGAATCGTAGAATCGTTTTCAAAGCCGATGCTACTACTCTTATATCTTACTTTGGCTTACCTTCTTTTTTAAGGTTTTCGATATTTTTTGTATTTTTAATTCATTCTAAAGATGTTATTTGCTTTTGATTTCATGCTTGAAATAGATGACTATAAAGGATACATTATCTTTCTTCTCTTCTTAATGGAAACAATCAATATACAACATTAATGCATTATGTTTTAAAAAATGGTATTATTTTATTAAATTTGTAGAGAGCTTGCATTTCCTATTATCAAAGAGGGACAATTTTAGAATATGGGATATTCTTTTTATTCAAATGACAATTAAATCATACATTTTCAAATTAATGGATTGTTGCTCTCACTATACCATCGAATACTTACTACTTCTATGCATGGAAAACAATTTAAAAGTTCCCTCACAAATAATTTTCATTTTATCATTTCGAGACAGATTAATGCTGAGAATGCCTGGCCCAAGTCAGGAGCCTGTAATTCAGTGGTTGTCGTTTGTTGCTGTATATCATATTTGTTTTCCGTTTATTGTTTGACCAGTAAACAGGCCGTTAGTCTTCTCGTTTGAATTGAGTTACATTTGTCATTTTTTGTCTTTTCATGGTTTTCATAAAAAGGATGAAGGTTTGGTACCATTAAAACGTTTAAACCCGCTTCATTTGTTTGCACCTGTCCTAAGTCAGGATTCTGATGTTGAGTAGTTGTCGTTTGTTGATGTGGTTCATAAGTGATTCTCGTTTCTCGTTTTTTATATAGATTAGACCGTTGTTTTTCCCGTTTGAATGGTTTTACACTAGTAATTTTGGGGGCTCTTTATAGCTTACTGTTCGGTGTGAGCCCAGGCTCCGTGTTGAAGACCGTACTGTGGCCTATAATGGTTTTCTTTTATAAATTTTGACTTGGATGGAGAGTTATCTCATTGACATCTTCTTATATCTATAATATGCGGTATTGGTTTTGCCCATTGTTGGAGGCCGTACGGTGACCTATTATAGTTGTCAACGTCAATTGGTCTTTGGTGGGGAGTTGTTATGTTTGCAATAAAACCACATCTTTTTATCTTTATATGGTGTAAATTAATTGAATCAAAAGAAACACAATGTTCTGTTAACGACAGAAGGATCTATACATGAAACAAATCAAAACTCACAAACATAAGTTATTCAAATATAAGTTATACAAATATAAGTTCTACAAATATCAACTTACGTTCTGTCGTTTCCTTGATAGTCGTCACCGTCGAGACAGCTAGCGAGGAATAAAATTTAAATACTAGTAAATATTGCTAATTCATATCTTTTTTGTTTTTTTTTCATTTACATCATGAGGGGCAGGATATGCCTACTTGATTTAATCTGTTGTGTATGAATTATCATTGTCTAAGTTTAATTTGTGTGTGTGGTCTGCTGTTTAGATCTGTGTAACAATGTCTCTAATAAATTGTTTTTTTTTTTGTTATTACAAAAAATAACCTAAAAAATATAAAAAAAAAATAGGAGTTTGATATAATTTTCGCGAGCACAACAAATGTCTCTGGAATTACCTTTATCAAGCATGATAGAAACCCAAAGCCTGGAATTCTACAAATGTAATACTTTGGAGAACACAAAATTAAAAAAGAAAATATCATAACGCCTATCAGTACTTATTCAGCTCATAATTACAGTTCTAAAATACCATCACGGCTCAAACAATAGTTCAAAAAAAGTAATCTAGGCATAATATAATTAATATAATTGACAGCTCATTTAAACCCATTTATAGAAGATGATCTATCTACTAAACCTTTGTGCCATTTTAATACTGTGTCCAAAATATTTCTTTTAAAAGAGAGGCGAAAGATACCAAAGGAACATTCAAACTCATAAGTCGAAAATAAACTAACAACGCTATGGCTAAAAAAGAAACAGACAAACAGACAAACAACAGTACCCAAAACACAACATAGAAAACTAAAGACTGAGCAACACGAACCCCACCAAAAACTGATGACAATGTTATACCATATATTAAAACACCAAATCTTAATTTCGAAATGTACATACAACATAAATCTTCTTCAGAAATGTCGACTCTGTCCCTCGCTGTGATATTACCAATTTCATGGAACTCAACAAATTTGAGACTGCTTTGATATGACATATCTTCGTCTATCAAATATAATAATAGAAAGAATAATAAAAAAAATAGTTCATAGACAAATATAACAATATTGTTGGTCATGCATTATAAATAATCTTTCATCAATTTTCATGAAATTACTAATTTATTCAAACTCATAAGTCGAAAATAAACTGACAACGCCATGGCAAAAAAATAAAAAGACCAACAAAAACAGCAGTACATAAAACACAACATAAAAAACTAAAGACTGAGCAACACGAACCCCACCAAAAACCGGGGATGATCTCAGGAGCTCCGGAAGGGTAAGCAGATTCTGTTCCACATCTGGCACCCGTCGTACATTTCGCTTGAGATTTATCTCAGTTTTGATAACGATATCATTATTTTGTAAAGAACTCATCCCTACAAAGATACTTAACTGGTATTGTGCACAGTACCATATAGTTTGTACCTTATCTGAGTCATAAAAAAACTTGATGTGAATTAATTCGGGAAAACCAGTATACAAATCGGTAGGTCACTCTTGTCTTTTTATTAATCTGAGAGAGCGTGGCCCATGCACAGAACGACCGTTTAGCTTAGTGTCATCTATATAGAATATGCGACTGGTTGACTAACCAAACAGCTACCGTTTTGAATAGTATATTTTTAGAAATTCGCAGACTTTCCACAGCGCTTTGTGAAACGAAAACTTTTTTAACGTAACAATTTAACTAAAATCACAAAACCTGTGTAGCAAATTCCTTTTCTAGCATCGTCACAGTCTCCAAATTCTACCCGTAAAGAACATTCATCAGTTTTCCTCACAAACTGGCAACGCCGTATCAAACCTAAATGAATAAAGAAAATATGTATTACCACATTATTGTCTTGATAAAACTAAGGATTAAAGTATGGTAGCATATTCAACACTATGTCTAAACTAAACCATTTAGGAAACTTATCTTTTTGATCTTATTCTATTAGCTGACATCACATAATGATATTATTTTTACGAATGCATAATAAATTAATGCGTGCATTATTTTTCTAATTAATTATTATGAAGATCACTGTTATTTCATAATTTCCCATTCTCCAACCCCTAAAAATGCATAGAATAATTATATTGAAAATCTGAGTAAATTATATAATTACTGCTTTTCAGATAGTCTGTTTCGACCGTTTCAAACCACTCTTTACCCCTATCAGGAACCTGAATACTCTTTGGGAGTTTATATAATTGGTGCTGATTGTCTAGTTTGGCGACTGAGCTACTTAGTGATTTGCAGTCACTTTGACTATCGCTGTACGTTTTGGCCTCATTTGAAGTCATCATAACTTGGTCATTAGCAACTACAAAATAAATAAAGCATTAGAAACAACTATGATGACACTGTTAGCAGTCCTCTTACTAAGCTGTTTACACCTTTCAGGGCCTATTCCAATCTAGCCTAAGCTGTCAGGTTATCATAAGAAAATTATTCCCATGTCGCCTTAGTGTAAAATTCCAGTTTTCAGTATCAAACATTTGTCAAACAAAGACAAATGGGATCGTGAGTGAACATTTAACATAGGCCAAGTACGTTGGGGTTTAATGCTGTATACAAATATAACATATTCATGTACACAAATTCAAATTAGGATAAAAAGAATAACAACTTTGATAAATATTATATAATTATTTATTTAATAATTTAAGTAGCACCTTCAGAATTAGCATAAATCCACAATTGTCATAGGAGTTTGACAACAAAATTGATTAATAAGTATAATGTTAGTTGTATTTTGCAGACAAAAAATAGCATAATGTCAATCATTTTTTGTACCAAATCTAATTTAAATAAATTGAGCAAATGCAAATTTTGTCATGATACTCGTGTTTATTTTTGAATAATATTAAAATACAATGTCACTGTAATCTTTTGAAAATTCATAATGTATGATTTCAAAGAAGGAGTAGACCTTCTAAAGAGAATTTTTTATTTTCTTTATCATTTTACAAGAATTACTAAGGAAGGAAGAATTGTTTTTAAATATTGTAATAATTCATTAACCTTACTAAACAATCTAAGATTTCAATATGGTTGCTATTATTTCTTAAACGATAAAGCAATTTTAAACTGTTGATTTATATTTTATGAAATAACAGAACAAGACTAGTATTATATAGCTTTGTTTATTCCAGATAAATTCACATTTAGCGTTAGTACAATTGCAACCTCGTCATAGAACTTTTGTATATATATTGTTACCTGGAAATATACAGTTGTGGCGAAATGGGAACACGTCGTTATATGACCAATACAGTTTAAAAGACAGTAATGTGTATTTTAATACTAGTATGTTATCAAGAGTCAAGGGTGGTATAAATATGTAATAAAACATTATTCCGGAAATAACATATATTCATGCAAAGAAAAGGAGCATATTAAATACCAAATTCGGTCAGCACTTCAATACTGTATCTTACCTTCGAAAAATAAAGTAAATATAATCTAGAAATGTATTGATTGATTGATTGTTGGTGTTTCAACGCTACTTTTAAGCGCCACATTTGGGCTATTTCGTGGTCAGTTTTTATAGGTGAAGGAGAGCCGGAGTGCCCGGAGAAAACCACCGACCTTCGACAGAAAAACTGACAATCCTAGTCAATTAAGATTAGAGTCGAGTGCACCCACACGAGCTGGGTTCGAACTCACAACCTCAGTGTTGACTGGCTAGTGATAGTAGTAGAACTACTTAGACCACTTGGCCACCGAGGCCCCTATAGAAATGTAGAATCAATTTATCAATGCAATGCTTATAAACTGTCAGTTTTGCCGGATATTTCTGATGCAAATGGTTATTTTATATTTAAACAATTAGCAAGAAGAAACGTTTCACACATCATTCACCACAGACGCCTACTACATAATTTACAATAAGAAGTATAGGATTTCACACATTACTCACCACAGACGCCACCTACTTAATTTATTATAGATGGTATACAAACATCACTGAAAGATCATTGTCTTATAGAAAGCTGAATAGAAATACACTTAGAGAACTACACCTACATGTTTTGCCACAAATATATAGATAGGTGTCTTTACAATACATCAATTATGATTCGTTCAGCGTCTAAATTTACGTCGCGTTTTTCACACAAATGTTGGCGAATTCCACGCAAATCTGTCTTGAGTATGATAAACGATTGTACATTGCGACTTAATAAAGTGAAATCAAAATTGTAAATAAAAATATACTCAAAATATCATAGAACTTTTCACTTGCATCTAGAAATTAATACATTAGTTTATGATTTGACTTAATTATAGAAAAATCAGCTGTCAAAAACTTAACATTTAAATTTTGACTGTAAATGAACTCAGATTTATTTCTAGAAATTACTAACCTATGTCTTGAAATTTTACTTGAAATTAGAAAATTCGTTTTCATTAAATTCAAGATAAAAAGCTATTCTATGTTTGGGATGTCGGAAAGCACATAAGCGCTCAATTTCTAGTAAGTTCCTGATATGAATTCATTTTAGTAGTGACCCTCATAAATCAAATCAACTGTCCTATTGAACACAGTTTCAAATGAGGTGATGATTGACTAATTATAATGGCATTTCATAGCTAAAACACAGTTCTGTTCAACGCCACGAAGGATTACATTAAATAAAGTCATCCCTTTTAAAATTTACGGACGCCATCACGAGTTGGTTGACTGATATGGAATATCTGTTGAACAAATGACGATGTATATGCTCCAATTGTCGGAACCACACTTATGTCCTCTTTTCTTTGAATGTGACAACACCGAATGAGACATATCACGAATATTTTTTACATGAGCCACTTGAATGGTGCCACATGTGCAACATGATCTTCTTACACTTCCGGTGCATCTTGGATCACCCCGGTTATTGATAGGGACCGTGTTGCTCTGACTGCTGTTCTCTATGTTGTATTTTGTAAACTGTAGTTTGTCTTGTTTATGTTTTTCGTTTTTTCCCCATGGAGTTGTTAGTTTGTCTTCGACTAATGAGTTTGAATATCCCGTTGGTATCTTTCACTCTCTTTCTCTGTCTTTGTACTACTCATTCATTATAACGCTGATTTTGACAATTTGCTGTTTACCACTGAGACTTAATCATTTCAATTCAGTGGTATGTCATTTCGCTTATACTACCTTTTTACATATTGATATGAAATAAAGGCTAAATCATGTTACTTTAATTTTTCTTCCCTTAGTTTATTTATTTTGTATTTACATTGTATCATAGATCAAATTTATTTGTTCAGTGTATGTTCACTGTTGTTAATATGTCTTTTGAATGAGTAAATCCATTTCAATTGATATTTTATAGTGTGTCTTTCTATGTTGTGATGTTACACTATTGTTTCAGATAAGGGTGAAGGTTTGGTACCATTAAAACGTTCAAACCCGCTGCAATTGTTTGCACCTGTCCTAAGTTAGGAATCTGATGTTCAGTCGTTGTCGTTTGTTGATGTGGTTCATAAGTGTTTCTCGTTTCTCGTTTTTTATATAGATTAGACCGTTGGTTTTCCCGTTTGAATGGTTTTACACTAGTCATTTTTGGGGCCCTTTATAGCTTGCTGCTAGGTGTGAGCCAAAGCTCCGTGTTGAAGACCGTACTTTGACCTATAATGGTCTACTTTTATAAATTTTGACTTGGATGGAGAGTTGTCTCATTGGCAGTCATACCACATCTTCTTATATCTAAATCAGCGTGGTAAAACAGTAACCTTACTGATTTAAAATAAGGAATCATCACCATGATTCCTTTTCCCATACATATGGGGTATGAATGTGATATTCTTGAAACGTATTTTGATAGCCACAGGTCTTCCTGTCAACTATGTTACGGCAAATTGCAATCCCGTTTATTAAGTTCTGTTTAAAAGTCTAAAATTTATAACATAATTTTACAAACCACATGTGTAATTCAGCTTGAAAGACGTTGGCACTCGTTCATGTTTTATATCTGTGCATATTCCTGAAGAAAGTAAAAATAAAATACACAAAATAAACATTTCTAAGCTAAAAAAAAAAAACCCAAAATAATATGATTTCCATGCGCACAACTCGTGTTTCTGGGGTAACTATCTTTAGCTCGTGACCAGATGTTTGAATGGCCTAAAATTTAAATCGTCGGAGAGCATAAAACCAAAATAGGTTATTAATTAGAATAGCCATATTTGGACGAGGCAGTTTGAACCTAGGTTTTTGCACAATTACATAAACTGGTGTTATAGAAGTATGAACCTGTTAACGTTCTATGGAACGCTCATATCTAGGACGCTGGTGTTAAATGTTTCTTGCTTTTATCTAGGACTGAATGTTTTGGTTTTTTATTTATTATTTTACATAAATTAGAATAAATATGAATGAAGGAAATGTGGTGCGAGCTAGCAATCAAACATCATAATAAAACTAAAATGGCATCTATAGGTCAGCATACGATCTGAATAAGTGTTAAGCAAACTTGTAAATCGTAGTTTTTCTACTGAACTACTCTGTATAATGTTCTAAGGCACGTATTTTCCTTTTAATAACACAACTACTTCGTCTCTATAGCCTGCATTTTTAATAAAAAAGATATCAAAATCCTTATATTCAACTTATTGCATTTAAATAATTAAAAAATGTGCCATGTCAATCGTTAAATTCGATTCAAAATTCATTTCCAGTTCACGTATATTCATAAGTCTGATATTATTCAAAAAGTAACTTCTTATCATGTACAAATATGTAACATTTTTTAATGAAATATACACAAGTGCATTTTATAATTCGACTAAAAATGGGCTTTATATACCAATTAAATAAATCATAAGTAGCATACTATTTTGTTCCGTTTCAGTTTCATTTTGACATCCTACTGCAAACTTTTCTAGGCCAGTCCATGCTGTGTCGTTGACTTCCAAAGCTTTCAGTACGGAAGAAGCATTGCTTTGTAATATTTGGAATGGTATAAGTGTACCGGAAAACTCAGATGTGCAGTTTTTCTGTGCATCGCCATACTGGGTATCCGAAATAATTGATATATTCAAGCTAGCTGTAATTTAATAAAAACATGTTATGGGCCAAATTGTAATGCACTATAGAGATAATTGTATAAAATTATTCTGCTCGGACAGATAAAAGTAATTCAAAAAGTCTTTCAAGTTTTATCGTAAATAAACAGTATCAAAAAGTAAAATCACAAAAATACTGAACTCCGAGGAAAATTCAAAAAGGAAAGTCCCTAATCAAATGGCAAAATCAATAGCTCAAACACATCAAACGAATGGATAACAACTGTCATACTCCTGACTTGGTGCAGGCATTTTCTTTTGTAGAAAATGGTGGATTGAACCTGGTTTTATAGCTAGCTAAACCTCTCACTTGTATGACAGTCGCATCAAATTCCATTATATTGACAACGATGCGTGAACAAACAAACAGACACAATAGGTAAAAATGTCAAAAATAGGGGTACAGCAGTCAACATTGTGTTATCATCTTAATCACTATAAAAACAAACAAATGTAACAAAGAAGCACAAAAAGGCATACATCAAATTTAACATCCTCATTTTGCTTTTTTATTATACGATTTTATTTATCTATGTAAAATCCACCAAAAAGGAGGGAAGGTTTTGAGTACTGGCGTAGAATCGTTCAAAGCTTTATTTGTGTATTCTGAATTATATCTTAATTCTAAATATAAAACAAATTGGCATGTTACTGGGACTTGACTATATGTGTTGCTGTCTACCTTTACCTCTTGTTCAACCAGATTGTAAAATTGACAATACAGTTGGGACATTTAAATTGACCAGCTGGTATTGTTAGAGTTGAGTCTACCTTGATGCTACCTGTACTGTTTTTTTATTCACCTAACCCAACCTTACAGCATGACTTTTTCCTGAAGTTTTTTTTCACCTAGGGTTATTCTATTATGAAATTGATAGGGACGAAAATATTATTGGTTTTCATTGTTTTAAATCCCCAAATAAAGATGATTTATCTAATTTTGACCCAAAAATCTAAATCAGTAAAACATTTTCTTAACTGCATGTTAATATGTATGAAAATTAAAACTGTTTTTTTACATAATAAATGAATCTTTAGATTTTTAACCCTTATACATAGTATTGTTCAGTTGTCAGTTAAACAAGAAATATCTATTCAGATGTTTTCAATTTTAGTTTTCAGATCGATATGTTATGCATTTCTTCATATATCCCTTCAAACTTTTCATTTTGGAGTATTAATGTAATGTTTGAAATCTATTGGAATCAATGTGCATAAAATGTTGGGATTTATTTTATTTGAATTCACTTCTTAGATGCCATTTAATATTGCTTCTTAAAATGAGAATTGTTTTTCCAAGAATGGATTGTCATGAATGTATCAAGGAGGAAATAATTCATTCAAAATGTTTTGTGTGGCTTTCATATGATGATTTACATGTAAATTTGAAATAATTTTGGAGTATACATTACAGTGTTTTTCTTTGAAATCTATTTGGATTTTTGTGCATAAAAACACTGAATTCACTCGAGGGAATTCAATTTTTATAAGTTGGGATTTAGTTAATCTAAAAGGGAAACAAAAATAAAACTGGAATTAGGAGAAATAAGTTCATCCAACATGTTTTTGCGGCTTTAAATTTGATTTGAAAATAATCATTATATAATTCTGGATTTAATATGAAGACGATTCATCTGTTTCAATGGGATATATATCATAAATATGAACTAATATGTGAATATAGTGGATATAGTCAAATCTAGTGATAAAGGGAAAAATAAAAGTAAGATTTTCCAAAAAAAATCATGTGAGAATAACAATTTGGAATGTGATATTGGAAATACTTATTATAAAATTCTGAATCTAATATTGTTTAATTGGGACATATATCATGGGTAATGAAATAAAACTGAATATTGTGGATATAGTAAAACAATTGTTATAGTGAAAAATATGAATAAAATATTCCAGAAACTTTGTAAAGTGAGGATAATCATTTTGAATGTGATATTGGAAATGAGCAAAAATGACAAAATTCGGGATCTTATATAAAACCTCTGCACCTGTTTAATTGTGATATATATCATGGGAAATTAAACAGAATACTGTGGATATGGGAAAAAATCTAGTGATATAGTGAAAAATGAAAAAAAATATTCCAAAATGTAAAAAGAATTAGGAGATTATTTTAGAATTCTTTCAAATAGTGAAACTGAAATGCTGGATGGGATATCAAATGTCAATTTCAATAAATAAATAAAATTGTTCAATCATAACTATTATTTTGATATTTCACTATGCATAAACACTTTGTTCAAGAATAATGTCAATAAGAATTGAATAAATGTTTAAGTGAAGGAATGCACACATTTGTTCTGGTTTCTATTAATCCTGGAAAATTATGGAAATTATAAAATAATTTAAAAGATTTCCACAAGAGTTTGGAAAAATTATTTTGAGTTATCTCCCATTAGAAAAAGCGAAATAGATAAATAGATAAAAGAGGTCTTTTCAACAATATGAAAGAAATCCAAGCACTCATAGTATTTGGCTATGAAAACATTATGAGGAAATGTAGTGCATTATACAACATGCAATTTAATACCCTGCAAGAAAAAAAAACATATACATTCTTGTTCTGGCTTTCTCGCTCCTAAAATTTGAAATGACAGTAAAATGGAAACTCTCTTTTTCCTTCTTAATGTTGTGTTTCTTTGGTAATAAATTGTATCATTAATTTCAATGGTTAAAAAGACTGTAGTTACATTGTTTATTTCCTTTACTTGTTTTTAGGATTCTCTAATGCAAAACATGGGGAAATGATTTTTTTTTTAAATCAGCAGTTTTTAGCAAATATTTGAACATGAAATAAGTTTACATCTTGTGGCCATACTTTAGCTTTATTCATACCATATATAGTAATTTAAACTGTATGCATGTTTTATTATTTAACAAGATAAAAATTGAAGCCTTAATGCCACATGGATAACTTTTGAAAGACCTATCCCAGTTACGCTACAACAGTCGCAATGCAACAGGTAAAGTAATGGGACAGCACCCAGGTAGACTCTTAATGTATGAGTGATCATCTATTCATCAACTGTAGCTATATCAACTGGTCAATTTAAATGTCCATATTATATTTTAATAAGTTTTGATATATGTAAACATCAGAAATATACCCGAATTTGTTTCATTCGCCTTCTGAATTTAACCTGCAAAGGTTAGTTTTCCATTAAACTGATACGGGATGCGTACGGACGAACGGACATACTTTCGGAAGGACACACGTACAGGAAACATAATACCCCGACGGGTAATAAAACTAAAGTTTTGCTTATCGGTAAAGTAGGTGCTGCTTGCTTTTAAACTTAATGCGTTAAATATTTAGGTAAAATTCGAATACAATACCGATTAAAATATAGACAACGTTAAACAATTAAAACGCTTTAAACGTTCTAATAAAAATGTGTAACAAATCAGTAATATTAACTTACCTCCAAAATTGATTATGGAAAAGATGAACACGAGAAAAATTTGAAAAATGCACTTCATGTTTAACTTGTCCCGATCACTACATAGCTTGTGTTACTCAAATTAGGAAACACTCAAGTTTACATCCGCTGTATCAATAATGTATAAGGAAACATTTGTGATTTGTGTTATTAATCTGAAAGTATTCATGAATTTCCATCGCATTCATTTAATCTAATTTTATGCATGACATTACTGGTACAAATGCGCATTTCGGCAAATAATGCATCTAATGTGATGTTTAATTTTTTATAATTTTTCTTATTTTTTTTATCAAAAATTTCAGTTTAAATAATCTCATGACATAAATAGGTTTGCCATATGAGCGTTTAAAAGCTTTTATCATTAACCAATTTTTCGAATATCTTGTATACATAATTTATGTCACTATATATTCAATGTATGTATGTTTTAAAGTAGCACTTCAGTCTTATAAAAAAAAATTTGGAGATTTTTTTTTATTACATTATTTTAAAGTATCAATCTGAAGATTTTGTAAAAATCCCAGAATCATTATCATGTCACAACAGGGATTAAATTGATAATTAAATTATGTAAATAAAAGCACTTGTTAATTACTTTAATTATAGGGGCATATGGGAGGAGATAAATCCTTTATACTAAATGTCCATTTGTTAATCTCTGACTGAAAACTTATCCAATAAAAGTAATTGATATAACTGTGGAGGAAGATAGGGAAGATAAATATATGAATAAAAATAATAATTTCACAGTATATTTCCTTTTGAATGCCAATGAGAATTTTTATTTTTTTTTATTGTGAATGATGTTAAATATTGATTATATGCAGCCGGTCACTTCTTTTATTCTCTTATCGTCGACTGTCTAGACAGATGAGGAGCTTTGCCTATATTTAACTACTACTTTACAGATGTTGGTCAAATCTGTGATGTCTAACTCCAGCAAAATACCAAATAAATGTTGTAAAGGGATGGACAGTGCACAAAAAATGCAAATGTTACATTCTAAGTGTGTACAAAGTGTGGTTTTATTGATAATATAATGGTGTCAGAACACTCTTAGTGTGTTCCAAGCGGAATATTTATATTTATGTTGAATTTATAGGGGTTAAACGAAGGATATTCCGTTGTGAGGTAATTTTTCAGAACAAAATTTTATATGAATTGTTACCAAAAAATGAAAATAGAAACTTAAGGTCACACACTTTGGTTTGGCTTTGATGTGTGTGTGATTAAAGGGAGTAACTTCTGCAAAATCGTGTCCCAGTTTTTAGATAGTTTGTTTATGAATGAATTCATAGGTCTCCAGAGATGAAAGGTGAAATGAGGTATTGCATCTAGCAGTTAAATCAGTATATCTTTGAACTGGGGGTATATACCAAAAAATCCGAGAAAACATTTGTAGCTTGTGTATTGTCAATTAAAGGGATGAAAACAATAGTTTACTACTATTTGACATGAATGTGCTTTTTCCTCTAAGTTGGTAGAGAGATATTTGCAGTTAATGAGCTATATTTTTAATTGATCATACCAAAAATAACTTTATCTATATTGATTAAGAAAGAATAACATTTCAGCTTTAAAATGAGTTGAAGATTTTAAAAATTCATTGAGTACTGATGGAGAAATTAATCCTTAAAGACTGTTGGTTGGAGTCAGAAAAGTCAGACTGTAATACTACCTTAAGAACATTTTCAATTATCTTAAGTAAAGGTTTGTAACTGTAAAACGATTTCTTATTTTCAGATGTGCAATAACAAAGAATATCGAAATAAAAAAGCAAATGGTTAAAATGAGAAACCAATGTTGGACTCCAAAATGTCAAAATCTTACCACCAAACAGGCACATCTAAATTTTTAAAAGATTAGTTTCCATGTATGGGAAAATAGAGAGAAAGGTCACTTTACAAAATGTGTATTTTCATAGCTTTTCAACGAAGTCACATCAGATAAACATTCAAATATATATGGCAAAACATAATGTTATTTGACTCGAACGTTTAAAATTAATTTAGGCCATAGTAGTTTACCGATGTTAAAATATCATAAATCGATTAAGAAGATGCGATTCAAGGTGTTACAAACAAAAATCGAAGGAATCGCATGAACTCCAAAAAGGAGCGATACCAGGTGCGTGTGCAGGATAAGCATCTTCTGCCTGTGTATGAAGTAAAATAACAAAAATACCGAACTCCAAGGAAAATTAAAATCGGAAAGTCCCATATCAAATGGCAAAATCAAAAGCTCAAACACATCAAACGAATTGAAAACAACTGTCATATTCCTGACTTGGTACAGGCATTTCCTTATGTAGAAAATGGTGGATTAAACCTCGTATGCGTCAACCGCCATGCTCCACACTCAGTCAAATTAAAAAGACACAATCGATGAAATAACAGTACCATATGTACATACGACTTTTATGATAAAATAAACTTAAACGGGATCATTTCGAGTCTATATTATGCGTGCATTAGCTCAACGAAAAACTTATATGCATCAGATCCTTGAAATAAATTTTCTAAATATTTTATACCTTTCTCAGTGACCACTTCACGTGTTCTAGAATACATTTCATAGGAAACAAATGAGGGAAGCTAAAGCTATTAAAAAATTGATAATCAAACCAAAAAGAGCCTACATAACAGAACAGTATTGACTTTTGGTAGAAAATTGGTTTTACTGCAGATTTCCTTTTAGCATAAGCATTAATATGTAGAGTTTGGAATAAACATTTGTAATTTTTACTTATGATATTGAGGAAAATTATACACTCCCGACACACCTCTCAAACAATTAAAAAAAACAACATTCAAACATATACGAAATCAACTGGTTTTCAGAAGTTAAAAGATTACACAATTATTTTTTTTCTGCTACGTCTTTCTGAACCTTTTATTTTTTCTTTTACTTTTTTCTTTTAGCCACTTTGTTGTCTGTCTGTCTGTCTCCTTTGATTTATGATTTTCATAAACCCTTCATCTTTATATATTGACAAAAAAGACAACAACAAAAATTGCCTTAATGGTGTTCCTGAATTAAGATGTTATGTGAAAAGAATATCAAGAGCGTTCCTTTTTTCCATGATAACTCCAATACACTTTCCGTTAATTTTCTTTTCAGAAATCAGGCAAATAGTGAGACTTCCTATTTACGTTCCTTTGGCAATTTGTATTCTTCATTGACCGATCAGGGTTTTTTACGCTTATCCATTCGGATTATTTGAATAATCAATTAAGGATAATATAGTCAAAGAAAAAAAAAAGCAATTAACATAACATTCCGATTTATCGTCGGTATAAGTGAAGCGAAAGAAACCGTTGGGACATACAAACTCATAAATCGAAAATAAACTGAAAACGCCATGGCTCCGGAAGGGTAAGCAGATCCTGCTCCCAATGTGGCACCCGCGCGTCATGTTGTTCATGCAATACAAACCCGATGATAAGTCTAATTCGGTAGGTCACATTCGGGGGAAAAATCCTCACTATTAATATTCAATGTTTCTATTCTAACAAGATATCATAAAATAGGGAATGGAAACGAGGAATGTGTTAAAGAGACAACAACCTGACCAAAGAGCAGAAAATAACCCAATGCCGACGGTTGTATTCATCAGAGCTGGATATCATCGAAACTACAGAAACTCCTTGTACTGTTTCATTTTCTGACATTTTTTTGGATTTCAACAGTAATGGACATCTACACACAATGAGAACGACAAAGATTGACGATTTCAACTTTGAAATAATTAGTTTTCCAAACATTAACTGCCTTCCCTGCATACCAAGTATTTATGTATCACATCGGTTATCGATAGATCAAAACAAGTGACTATGCAAAAAGTAAATAAATATTGAGTGTCCGCGACAGAATTGACAAGTAATGCATTCTATAGTTGTAGCTGAACCCGTGCTTCTATGGTGATGCTTGGCTTTCTGGGATTTAGAAATCCGCAAACAACTCCGGTATAGTTGCAATGAAATGTTCTCGTAAAAGTACTCTTACCAAGGTGATGCTTGGCTTTTCGGGATGTAGGAATCTGCAAACAAGTTCGGTATGGTTACGATGTAGTATACCAATAGAACTACTCACACCAAGGTCTTATCTACTTTTTTCATTAAATATTCATTAGTCATTTTAGTATGACCTATACGACATCTAGATATGACGCAATGATCTCTTTGGAAAAAAAAACATAATTTAAATATTGTATCAATTTCTAGTTCAAGTACATTGAGTTTATTGTTAATCATTTCCGTATTTATGTCTGATGATTGTATAATACTTTTTCACTGAGTGACATTGTGTCATCAAGAGTAATTGTTGCTTCCCTGTCTATGACCAACATAGCAAGTGACGACACCATTTTTATCGAAGGACACCGGTGATTAACCTACATGAATTAATCTGTGTTTGAAAGGCATACATCGAAATATTTCCAATAGACTTTTTTTCGTTAAGAATCTCCTTCTACACATATTTGTTTAGATAATTACTAATAATTAGCCAAAATCTGTCAAAATTGAAGTTTTGAACCATCCATAGGTATTTATAATTTTATCACATGTTCTGCAGTACACTAGTGTTTTTAAAACCTTTAAGTACACTTATGAACATATGGCACAGTGGTTTTAATAAAGAGTGTAGGACTTTTAGAAAAAGGCTCTGCTGTGAAATACCATCAAGGAAAATTTGCCTTTTCTCTTTTTGATTCAGACAAGTTTTGATTATAACTTTATTTCATCATGGAGTAATTCAAAATATTGATATTATTATGTCTTTTTAAGTTATCATCTAGTACAATCCAGGATCCTCCTAGTAAAAATCTAGATCTGTAATGCATTTCAATTAGCATTTATCAGAATTCCAATTTCTTCTAGTATAGATATTAGAATTTCAATTTGTCCTTTGTGTTTTTCTGGATCCTAATAAATTCCAATTTGTACTGTAGCAAAAACATGACATTTCGATGATATGTTGAAAAGAAATAAATTCTACAAGATTTAACCGCTTTTACAATATTAAGCATTGAACCAAAATCGAGAAATCAAAATCTGTGGGTTTTGTCAGCTGAGAGATTATTTATTGGGTTACGATAGCATTTCAAAATTCCAACACGTCACCGCAAGAGTAATTGAGAGCAATCCTAATGTGTTCTCATATTCACATTTTCTAAGGGGAAAGTCGATACAATTAAAAAGGTAATTTTTTTTCTATCAATTATAATTTATTTTCTGCCATTCAAGATATCTGTTCGAACATTTAGAACACTATCATCTTCGCTAGCCAAGGGTTACGATCCACTTCCCTCCTCTCCACCCTTGGCGGATTGAGATAGAATTTCGGAGACACAAGGTAATGATTTTCATTGGTTGCAGTCGAAACTCACTGCATCAAATCAAAAAGCGCCTATAACATGATCAGGTGTAAATGTAGAAAGTGTATGTAAACAATTGCCACGTGCTTATTGTGCAACAAGTCTTTACATCCCTAAACATACGACTATATTTAGTGACAATTTGAATGTTTTTAATCAACTAATAGAAGTTCCTGTGTATGTTTCTTGCACAAATGCATTAATGTCAACGTATATTTTCGTTTCCTGCTTTACCAAGTGTGTAGAATCTAGACGCTACCGTGTTTTTACCTCCAGATTGAAGAGGTCAAGTGCTACCATTGGTCAAAAATAATGTATTAGGAATGGGCGTGACTTTAATCTACCGATAGATGGCGCAACATTGTTATCACAAATGTTGGCTTAATCTGCCAAGGGTGGAGAGGAGGGAAGTGGATCGTAACCCTTGACTAGCGAAGATGGAACACTATAGCTCCAAAGAATTTTTATTAATTATTACCAGATGCATATGTTAAAACTACTTGGCATGATTTACCATGTCAAAAGTACTTTTCAATGGAAAATCACACATTGTTATTTAGCATATAAATAGTCAACCCAATGTGAGTTAGCAAATGGACATGACGTACTGAACAAATTAGCATAGAGACCGAAATTTTAACGATATGTAAGCCAAAAATAAAAAGAAACCTCGAAAGAACCGTAATCTAGCTCACACAAATAAGAATGAGACTTGGAGTTGGTATTGAGATGAGAAATCTTGTGGCAAGTCAAAATAGTAACATGACATGCTAATGATAGATTGGTAAATCAACATAAAATCGCACGGCAGTTTTCATTTACACATGCAATCCCCATCTTATGAAGACAATTTTTGATTTCTCCTTTAGTAGTTTGAACTTATTCTTATTATTTATCAGCAGTTATATTATCATTCTACTTTTAATATAGTTGCTTCTGATAACACAAACCTCAGCAGGCAGCATATAAATAAAGATACAAAGATATAAGACACTTTTAATATAGAACTATGTTCATATTATAAATTCATATAAAATTTACATACATTGTAGAAGGACGGAAAGATAACTTGTTTTAGAATGAAGTATATGAAGCTTACTTTAAATTTAAATTTTTTTTATTGTAAAATATAGCCAAATCAGGAATTATCATTATGTCAATTGCAAAAAATAAATCTGGAATCTTAGTCAGTATTGTCGTTTTCAGTAACGCTATTCTTTCGAATACATGTATCTGAAGTCTTTGGGCGAATTTTAAACCATAATACCAGGTTACAACAAAAAATGCATACCTATACTGGAAGAAAGCCACCGTGTACAATTATAATAAAGAAACCATTGAAAAATTCAAATAGTCGTTTATATATTCTAGTATGAAGTATGAAATATGTTTAAATATGCAGCATCAGCATATAACAGTTGTGGTTGAATGAAAGATATGCTTCTGAAGAGGACGACCGTGACGAATAAAAAATAACACGGTCAGTGTTCTTGTTAATAACTTCGATACAACAATAATGTAAATATTTTTTTAAACGCCTTGTAACAAAATTAAGTCATTGTCTTTGTAGACATAAGGGTTTACAGAATATCGCACATATATCAGTTATTTCTTTCCAAGCAAAAAGGAGTGAAGAAAATTACTGGTATCGTGACTTGAATCTAACGTTTTAGGTAAGGAAACAAATAATAACAAAAAAATCATTTCTGTAGATAAATATTGCAAGATTTCAGATCAACAACAATGAAAAAAACACTCATATACAATGTTTTCAAAACGAGTATAAAACTCTACTCATTTGCAGTATCACTAGGTTTAAATTATTGCACAAGAGCGATGAGATCACATTATTTACCATATGTTTGTATTGGATATTTCCATATTAGTTTAGTCATCAAATTATTGATATGAAGAAAGTATACAGAGGCAGGTTACAAAAACATTAGACCTATGTGTAAACAGAATCGTAAGAAAAAGCACTGTTTAAATGAAATAATTGTTTACCTATTTATATTTTATTTTCTTTTGCCGATGAATGGCACCAATCATTCTTACACATGTATTCGACAGTATTCTCGTGATTCATTTGAAAGTCACACATATTTACACTTGTAAAAAACATTCATATCATTTCAATTACTTTCAAATTCACTCATATAAAATCGCACTTTACTTGCAAAAAAAATATATATACATAGTATTTCAACATGTTATGAAGTGCAGACATTGTCTAGCATTATATCTTATATAATGGAATGATTTTTTTTGTAAATAATTCAAAATATGGATACACAATCATCTATTCATACATAACAATAGTCAGTCATTCTTTTCACTCATTATTTTTTTCAAAGTAACAAAATAAGCACAGAAATGGTCCCTGAAAGACTGTCAGTATAATGTTATCTGTATAGCAACATTTCTGCTATACATATGTCATTGGTACTGTTTTCTCCTTCTTCTTTTTAGCTGTCAGTGTATATATTAAGTCAGAAATCATTGTCTTTGACGAAAATTTCTTTGATGGCTGTCGACATTCCGGACAAGTTAGAGGACATTTATGTATCATCCATTCTTTCACACACGATTTGTGGAATGCTGAAATGATAATATAACAGCACGTCTAAATATGAATCAAATATGACTTTAACGAGATATAAAGTATACATCAATGTGAACTGAGACAACAGGTCAACAACATAACAGCACATCAAACTGCAAAAGACATTATAAGAGGTCAACATAAGACCTCAAACGGTAGACAAATGTCTATATCATATGTCAATCTCAGTTTAGAATTTAGTAAAGACAAACTGATCAAGGGTTGCTGCTCATAAGGAAGCTATTAAACAAAGATATCCAAGAGGTGAAGTTGAAATCACCCATTCGAAATTTTTATGGACGCAATCACGAGTTGGTTGACCGTTATGGAATATCTGTTTCACAGATGACGACGGATATGTTTCAATTGTCGTAACCACAATCCCGTCCTCTTTTCCCCGAATCTGACCTACCAAAATTTACTTATCACCGGGTTTGTACTTTCATGATAAACACGACGGGTGAAACATGTGGAGCAGGATCTGCTTACCCTTCCGGAGCACCTGAGATCACCCCCGGTTTTTTGTTGTTGCTCAGTCTTTAGTTTGCTATGATGTGTTTTGTATACTGTTGTTTGTCGTTTTTTTTTTTGCCATGGCGTTGTCAGTTTATTTTCTACTTATGACTTTGAATATCCCTTTGGTAATAAAGTTATAACAATTTATACCGATTATTTTATATTTCATGCACGCAATACTTTTTTTTTCTAGAATACTCTTCATCTGATAAACTCGACGCTTAACGTTTGTTAGCCCAACTACACTTATCATTTCCGATTTGTAAACCCCTTAGGATAGTTAACAGTATCAAATAATGTTTAAAAGATCTAATCCCTCTACTTGCTTGTCGAATTACAATTGATGAGAAGGCACAAAACATAAACTAGAGGCTCTAAAGAGCCTGTGTCGCTCACCTTTGTCTATGTGCATATTTAACAAATGACACTCTCCTGTTTCTGTTGTGTCGTAGTTCTCCTCTTATATTTGATGTGTTTCCCTCAGTTTTAGTTTGTAACCCGGATTTGTTTTTTTCTAAATCGATTTATGAATTTCGAACAGCGGTATACTACTGTTGCCTTTATCCAACATAGACGAGAATAGAATTCATGACAAAAATCTCTGTTTTGTTGATCTTGTATTACTGATCATTTGGTCTGTTTAGTTTCTCTCTATCTTCTTTAGTTTTTCCTCACAACACAAAAGAGGGTAAAAAAACCCTTATTTTAGGGCAATCACTCCTATAATGAGTGACAGTTTACCTACTATATCAGCAAAATTTGACTTGTTAGTAGATCTTGCCTAGCTGATAATTTTTGTGAATCAAAGTGTCTATTTATCTATTATAATTTTTATCATATAAGGTAAAACGCAAAAAAAATTGGTAAAAGATCATCATTAAAGGGCTATAACTCCAATAAGGAGACGTTGAAAGATTTCCTACAAATTGTTTTAATTGTAGATCTTGTCTTGCTGATCATTTTTGCTTATTTAAGTTTCTATCTATTTATTATAATTTTTAAGATATAAGGCAAAAACGCAAAAAATTGGTAAAAATAGTCATCAAAGGGTAATAACTCTAATAAGGAGTCGACTGACGATTTCAACCATTACTTGTAAAACTTGTCTTGCTGATCATTTTTGCAATTTAAAGTTTCTCTCTATCTATCGTTGTTTTCAAGATAATAGGCAAAAATGAAAAAAATGGTAAACTTTATCATTTAAGGGCAATAACTCCTATAAGAAGTTGTCTGACAGTTTTGACGTATATGAACAATTGGTAGAGCTCAACATTCTGAACATTTTTGCCCCTGTCAGATTTTCTCTATTCATAACGGTTTTCAAAATAGTAGACAAAACTTGCATTTTACCCCTATGCTCTATGTTTAGCCATGTCGGCCATCTTGGTTGGCAAGTGGGGTCATCGGACACATTTTTTAAACTAGATACCCCAATAAGGAATGTGGCTAAGTTTGGTTAAATTTGGCACAGTAGTTTCAGAGGAGAAGATTTTTGTAAAAGTTAGCGACGACGGACGACGACGGACGCCAAGTGATGAGAAAAGCTCACTTGGCCCTTCGGGCCAGGTGAGATAAAAAGGTTTTAACTTACTGTGCTGACATGAAAGACCAACAATGGTCGTCATCGCTGAATTCTTTTCATCTAAACATATTGCACAGTCATCACCTGTAAAAAAAACATCTCGTGATTAGAAGGAAGTGAATTGACATTCAATTAGGAAATGAACTGTTAACTGTTTAGCTCATCCAGGTCAATTGTTTTGTATGCCCTATCATTTTAAAACGTTTGAAAGTGATCGCCAAACAATTTGATTTAAACTGCTGTTGTTAGGTAATGAATTTCGAACAAAAGGGTTCATGATTTTGAACAAAATAAATATCACTGAATGAATGTGTATTTTTGGACAGGAAGAATGAATTTTTTACATTTGTAGTTTGCTTGTTGTAAAATGATAACTTACCAGACACTTTAGGAACACGTTTCATCCTTCTACTTGGAACAGTCATAACTCGTTCATGCTACAAAATAAAAAGTCATCTGATGTAATTTAATCACCCTTCGTTTTAAAAAGCATTACCTGTGTAGCTTATTACGTCACGCCATGGTTGAGTCTTGTTTCCATAAGAAATTCTGTGTTTTTTTAATTTATTAATTATTAAAAGTTATTCAACCTCCTATCTACAGAGTATTGTATAAAATGTAATAGTCGACGAAATGAATGCTAGGACACCTCCTATTCAAAACGGAACCCCTAGACCCCACAGTTATGATATGTGTAACAATCAGTTTAGTCTTTAGTAGACGAAACGCGCGCCTGGCGAACACAATTTTAATCCTGGTATCTCTGATGAGTTTATTTACAACTACTCGGTCGATGCTACTGCTCGTGGCGGTTTCCTCTCCGTGGATTCACCAGCCCAGTATTCAGCACTTGTGTTTACACTAGTGTTAACATGAGTTATAACTGATATGGTCATAATTTTAAATTAGCTGTTTACGAAACTTAGAATTTTTCGAAATACTTAGGATTTTCTAACCAAGGAACAGATTGCTTTAGCTGTATTTGGCAAAATCTTTCAGAATTTTGGGTCCTCAATGCTCTTGAACTTCGTACTTTATTTCGCTTTTTTTTTTAACTTTTTTTATTCGAGCGTCACTGATGATTAAATGTGTCACAGTGGACAGAACAAACGGTGTGGATGACGTATACTGTATGGTTCGTATGTCATCATTGTGAAACATTAAAGTTCATTTCATCAAATCTATTTACAGAATAGTTTCCGTAATGAATATGTAAAGTTTATTTTTAAAATTATATATCAATGTATGGAGTTTTTATATAACTTCTACATATTATTCATCTTTTCGACTATGATAGTTTGATGCATTTTCATAATATGAACCCAACCTGAAGATTACTACGCCAAAACACGAAAATGATTGAGGGTGAGGTTTTCAGAAATATATGAGATGAAAAAAAGTAAGGTTGTGGTGTAGAAGTTAAAAGACCGAAAAAATCATGCAAGCACTAGACAATCTTATTTATACCCAAACCCAAAGAAATTGTTACAACCTTTTGTTTCTGTTCATCGTTACAAAGCCACAAATCAAAAGCTCACAATTCAATGCAAATTTAAGATGTTTACATTTGAATTTAGCCTCGGTAATTATAAAATTTTTTGGTAAATATCTACCTTATTTTAATCAAACTTTGTGCAAATTTGACAACATTTGATCTCACTGCTACATAAACCATTCGTCCTCATTTTGCTCACTTGGCGTTAAACCGTCATCAATTAATCAATCAATCATATAAGTTCAGTGATTAAATTATATACATACCTGCTGTCGACAGTATTGCGTTTCAAGACACAAGCAAATTAACATCACAATCAAAATAACTGTTCCAAAACTTATTAAAATGGCTGCACAGACTATGTCTCCTTTTGTGAAACTGGCACCATTTGACCTGTAAAAGTATATCTAAATAGTACTTATATGTTAAATAAATTAAATAAGTGTAGATAAGTATTACATTTTTTTACTTACGTTCATCCTCTTACTACTGTTGCTGCCGGGTTTAATCATTTTAAGGCTAAAAGCAAATTTTGAAATAAAGTGTAAAAAGGACAAGGCAAACTGGACAGAACCACGTGATATATATGTTGAACCAATGTATGACAAACATTTATTTGTTCATTGTAGTTATTTGTGTAGTAAGGTTGCTGCCTCTTTGAGATTACCCTAACTCTCCTTTTATGCAATTTTTTGAACTCCTGGCTACATGGCCAGGGTATCTCCAAATAGACATTTTATTCACATCAAAACCATATTTTATAATTTTTATAAAAAGGTTTGATATGACGTAATTTCAGTTTAAGTTATTTCCCTTCGCCGCCATTTTGAAGGGGTAAATGGTTAATTTTCCTTTTTGGCTAATCAAATTTGAATAACCCGAAAACAGTCTGGCGATCAGTTTAACAAGTTGAATTTGGCTGATATGAAGGAATTTGTGCACTGAGACCTTCAACAAAAGGAAATTAACTCTTGCTCAAATTGTGTCAATCGAACCCCATTTATACTGGAACGGATGAAAAGTTCAATAATATGTGCAGGGTTGTGAAATATTTTATAGTTTTTCAGTCATGTTACTGAAACAAAGCCATGAATAATTATTTTGTTTAACTGTGTTCAGTTTTTATTCGTTTACTACATTGAAACTATTTGGCATTCGGCCCACTGTCCTTGTTTGTATATAATATTCACTATTAATAAGAGCAATATAATGTATAATATTACCATGATAACAGTATTTTCAACAAGTATATAAGCATCAGCTATATTGCGCAATACATTGTTTACATTATTGATAAAATATTCATGAAGTTGCAAACAAAGAAAAATAGAAATTAAAATTTAACTTACGCTCTCGCAATAACATAAATTGTATAACTGACTATTAGGATTATCGATATAATGGCTGTCATTAGATATGAACACCCTTTACACAACTGTCCATTTGGTGGATCCATCGGCATGTTGTAGTCGCTGTAACTTTTACTTTAATGTAAACAAAGAAAGTACGGTGATTTCCACTTCACAGCTAATTTTAGAAACATATTCATGGGAATTTTTAGAATGTCTATATATAGACATTGCAAATAACAACAAAAGGTAAAGTAACTATTTTCGTTTGTACACGCAAGAACTTTAAATTTGAATTTAAATTTGAATTTATGCAGAAAATCTATAAATAGACATTAGATAATATACGATCATATTTATTTGGTGAAAACAATACAATTATAACATAACAATACACAAAATGAACCTAGAGAAATGAACTACTTAGCATTAATTGCTTCTTATATTCAATAGAGATATTTAATACAACAAAATATAATCTAGTAAAAATATAAATTTAAGAATGCGTGGTACGATGTCCATTGAGACATTTTCCCACAAGAGACCAACTATAGGTCACAGTACGGCCTTCAACAATGAGTAAAACCTATACCGCATAGAAAGCTATAAAAGTCCCCTACATGACAAATTCAAAGCAATTCAAGCGAGAATACTAACGGCCTGAATTATGTACAAAACTATTAACCGAAAACACCAATATGATATACAGCAACAAACCGATAACCACTGAATCACAGGCTCCTGATTTGGGAAAGACACATACAGAATGTGAGGGAGGTAAATATGTTTGCGGGCGCCCCCTAACCCGGGACAGTGGTTTAACAGCACAACATAAGAACAAACTATAAGAATCAGTTGAAAATTAATTGACTCATCGGATCGACACAAAGCACACAAAATAATCTAACAAAAAGAATTTAGATATACGGTCTGAGAGTACTCACAGTTGCTGAAAACTAGTTTAAAACACAATAACAACTCATGTTTCTAAGACTAAAATATCAATCAGTACACATCCAATGAATTCAGTGTAGAGACGTAATAAACAGCATTAGCGGATCCAGGGGGTTGTTCTTGGGTTCGAACCCCCCTTTTTACGATTATTTTAATTATGTGAACGTTTCATGGTGTTCCGGGGGTTGGTAGCCCCCTCTTTCCAAATGACTGGATCCGCGCCTGAACAATCAGAGAAAAACATGATCTTTTGCAATGCCAAAATATAGGTATCGACAGAATGAATGACCGGAAATATTTAGTAAGGTCTTAATTTACATGTATTGGAAAAAAAACCGTGTTTGTACTGATAAAAACAGTACTCAAAATATCGTGTTTACAGTATCCTTTTCAGCTTAAGTGCACTCTCGTGTTAGCATTCCTTGACAGATTTTACAGTTCATTTCAGAATTATGGCTGAATTGTATTTTATGATAATGATGCATCTATACTACTAAAATAACGAGGTTCAATTTGTTAGCCGGCATAACGTAAAAACGACGAATCAACTTTATAAATAACTAATATAGGACAATGGTGTTGATTAGAAATTATACCATTCCAGGCCCTTTTGTTTTCCACATATTAATTAATATTACCAATAATTACCAAGTTCCGGGTCGAATCCGATACCGATACCCATAGTATATGTCACATGTAGTTTCCGGTAGTAAGAAAACCAGGACGGGTTCAAACAGAAAGATTTTGAAAGCACAGAAAACTGTGCCCATTATAATCAGCATAACTTTATCAAATGACAATACGAATACTTAAAATCAAGGCTAAAAATAGGCATGGATACTTTAATTCAGTCACGGACCCTCGATGTCGCGGGTGTGTTCTAGTTTTTACTATTAAAATAAGAAATATTAAATTTATTATATTTTACAGCTAATTCTCCTATTTTTGTTTGCTATTCATTTTTTTCTCTCGTAATGTCTACATTGAAATAGTAAATGCAGCTCATCTCAGATGTCACCTTTCTTGCAATAGTTGCATGTAAGTTCATATCTTGGGATCTTATTATATCTGCCTGTTTCAATTTGTATGTTGTGGCTACATATTCTTATTTAACATACTCTTGAGCTCCACGTTTTTGGTGAAATGATACTTTAGATTGATTGATTGATTGATTGGTGTTAAACGCCACTTTCAGCCCTATTGTGCTATTTTGTGGCGGTATGTTTTAATTGGTAGAGGAAGACGGTGTGCCCGAAGAGAATCGCCCACCTTCGGTAGGAAAACTGATTGATACTTTAGATGAACTTGCCAAGTTTAAGGACAATGAATGACTATATAAATATATGTTATTAAGGAAATAACATTTATTAATATGTTTCCTAATTCAATTTATATCCGATGAAATGTGATATAGTCGAGGTCTGTTATTAAATCGTCTTGAAGGTTTTTTATGATATATTTGGCAGTTCCTACAGAGACAGAGAATACCAAGGGGACACACAATGTGTAGGGGTTAAACTCGTTTGTGAGAATTCAACACTCTCCTAAATTGGAACATTGGTGTAACAAGACAGCACAATATTAGGAAAAACCGTTTTATGGCTGGCTATACAGTGTGGGTTTAGCTCATTGTTGATGATTACCTATATTGTGACAGTCTACAAACCACGCCACTTGAAATCTGATGGATAGTTGTGTTTTAGCAATCATCCCACATCTCCTTATTTTATATTTACAGACTAAAAAAAATTACAAGACATAAAGTACTGATCTAAGAATACTCCAAGTTACAGAAAGATAGTTCTAAGCCCAATTTCAACTAATGAATTATCCATGTTTTCAAGTCTGAAATAGAAGTCAATTGCGTAAAGATCTCATAAACTGTCTGAAAAAGCACGACCTTGTGCAATGCTAAAAAATAGGTATCCAAAGGTTACCATCCCAAAGCGACTGATATCCCCCCCCCCCCCCCCCCTCAGTTTTTGGTGGGGTTCGTGTTGCTCAGTCGTTAGTTTTCTATGTCGTGTTTTGTGTACTGTTGTTTGTATGTCTTTTTCTTTTTTAGCCATGACGTTGTCAGTTTATTTTCAACTTATGAGTTTGAAAGTCCCTTTGGCATCTTTTGCCTCTCTTTTAAAGAACCATACTTTTTACTGACAAGATAGCAGTTTATGTTAAGTGATGCATTAAACAATTATGATTTATTGATAAAAAAAAATCAATTTTAGTACCTATCTTTATATACGAGTTCTATAAACAGCATCACGCTAGACATTAGGACATGATATCCGGTTTGTGATAATATTTCTATACATGTAGCCACAGCCTAACTTCAAAATTAAAATCTTAATACTTAATCAAAGAATTTAGTTGTAACGAAACTCCTGACTTTACAATTCGCAAGCTCTAACTGCCGAAACACTAAAATAGTGTCGGGTCCTATCAGGCAATATGGGATGCGCGGTTGCATGGGTGTTTTATAATAACAAAAGATAAATTTGGTAGATCGATATAACGTTCGCTGAAATCGAAGCTATCACTACTGACACGGATTTGCAGACAAGTTGGGAAATTATACATACCATAAGAAGGGATAAAAAAAACACCATCTTGTTAAAGGGGAAAATTAACGATAAAAAACGAAATATCGTAGTAAGTTTTAGTATACGACTATACCTAAGCAAGAGGTCTTAGTCTTTCTTGTCTCCTCTTAAATTGTCAGTGATGACAAAGATGTCGTCACATTCATTTATTGGATACCAAAACAACTACACAAGTCTTTTTACACCGGTATACAGCTTGGTCTGCCAGAGGTTTTACTGAGCTCTTTTTAAAATCTTAATACCTATCCTAACAGCAGTTAAGGAAGGACAGCTGAAATGTTGTGATTTGCCCACTTTTGTGGTTTGAACACAACACGTTATGATAAAACGGTTGTGATTATCAACAACAAATAAGCCTCTACAGAACAGTCTAAAGAATCTTCAGAATCTTCATTGCAATATGAATTAAAGAATTGCACGAATAAGTTAACGAGCACGTTAAATTAAGATTGAGAATGGAAACGGGGAATGTGTCAAAGAGACAACAACCCGACCAAAGAGTAGAAAACAGCCCAAGGCCACCAGTGGGTCTTCAACACAGCAAGAAAATCCCGCACCCAGAGGCGGGCTTCAGCTGGCCCATAAACAATAATGTATACTAATTCAGCGAAAATGGACGTCCCACTCAACTCCGAAACATATAAATGAACCAAAATTAAAAAAAAAACATACAAGACTAACAAAGGCCAGAGGTTCCTGACTTGGGACAGTCACAAAAATGCGACGGGGTTAAACATGTTTTGTGAGATCTCAATCCTCCCCCTATACCTCTAGCCAATGTGGAATAATAAACAGACACACAGCAATACGCACAGTAAAACTCAAAACGGTTCAAACTGAACTTATCTTGTTGGATTTTTTAACACTGGCTATACTATTTGAGATTATGATTTATTCTAAAGCTCATTATTTATTTTACCAAATTTAAGATTCTAGTTTCTTTATACATGCATTTATAATAGCACTCAATATATAAGAAAATATTACATAACACCACCATTTGAGTCTTCTAAGTGCATTTACGAATTTTGGTAAACACTTTATGTGGTTTCTTTCAATTTATCGTGTAAAGGATCGATTAGATAGACCATTGAATTACTTGCAAAAGTATTTTTTCCAACGTGTCTATTTCCGACTTTGCAAAAATTTAGATACGGACGTGATGATTTATTTCATGCCAAATACAACAATGTACAATAAATATTACTTCATGAAAATAATTTGAAAATAACACTTAATAAAACTGTCCCAAGTCAGGAGCCTGTAGTTCAGTGTTTGTCGTTGGTTCATGTCTGTCTTATTTGTTTTTCGTAAATTGTTTTGTTATAAACTAGGCCGTTAGTTTTCTCAATTGAATTGTTTCGTATGTTTCATGTCGAGGCCTTTTATAGCCGACTATATGGTGTGGGTTTTTCTCATTGTTGAAGGCCGTACGGTTGCCTTTAATTGCTTACATCCACTTTATTTGAACTTTAGTGGATAGTTGTCTCATTGGCAATCATACCACATCTCCTTATTTTTATATTGTAACGTACGCAGCGCTTTTTTGGATTGATCTTCATCAGGAACGCTCATACCCCACAAATCGAAAGACAAGGATGAATAACTGTCT